CTGCCGGGTCCCAGCAGCTCCAGGGTCGGTGTCTGGGACACTGGCGCATGGGCCTCAACCCCGGGGTGCCAGAAGCATCCCCAGGAGAGCTACGCAGGCGTCCCACCGACCCTGCTGCCCCCAGCCGACCCCCGAGGGGTCCCCTCAGCTCTGCCTCAGTTTCCCCACCTGGCCATCACCTGCTGGTTGTTTCAGGAGGGAAACACAGAGAGTTCCCCAGAGGAGATCGTATCAGCCAGGAGAGCTGTTCCCCGGGTGGGATTGCTGGGGCAGCCACGCCACCGCCACCCCTGGGCGTCACCAGCGGCCCCTCTGTGCCATGCCGCGGCGCAGCACGGCCCCGTCGCACCACAAGCACATCTCTGAGCCATCCAAGGCCAACCACAAGCAGGTGACGAGCACGAGACATTTCAACTACCAAAGGCACCGTGAACGGCTTTACAAAACGTTTCCATCATACGCCAGAGCGGCCTTTGCCGGGGGAGAGGAGCAGCCCGGCCAAGCCGTGCAGCCGGGACCTGAAATAGCACTGTTGGGCTCTCTTGTTGCTTCTTTTGGTGTGTCCCCAGAGACACCCGGAGCCACCCTAGGTCACTTACGTTCTGGGTGCTTTCATGCTCAGAGGTTCATGCCCCATCGTGTTTAAACAGTGAACGCTAACCCCTGGGAACAGTCTCGTTTTGGGCAAAACTTGCTGCGTTCCTGCAGGGCTACACCCGGGACTGGCCTCAGGAGCATCTGGCAGCTGCTCCGTCATAAAAAGCAGCTCAGAAATTCATACAACCAGATTTTCCCATCTTTAGCCGTGCAGTAACAGGATTTTACGCTCCTCGGTGAAGCAGGGGCCGCCCGGCTCCATCAGTGCTGAGAAACACGCCATGAAGAAAAGGCAGCTACAAGAAATTATATTCTCCTTTTATTTACCTATGACCATGAGAATGTATTTTTGCTAGCTGCAGAGATGCTTCGCACTGCAAACGGGGTGCCTGGAGGCAGGCAGTCCGTTCAGCTCTGCCAGGCTCAGCAATGACCCCGGCTTCCCAAAACACAGTATTGTCATCCAGGGTAAGGAGAGCGTCTGATTCACAGAGCTGCTTTTCTCCGTCACCAAACCCTCCATCGTCAGGGCATGATATATACACCCAGGCTCCCCCAGCGGCCCGCTGCTAGGGAACGCGTTTCGTCAGATAAAACCTGCTAACTTAGAAAATGTTGTACGCACTCAGAAAAAAAACGCAGCCACTCCACCGGAGAACTCCGCTGCGACACACACAAATATTGCACTTGGAATTTCAGAACAGGAAAGGACACGAGGATTTCCTATTACACAGCAACGCGTCCAGCTACAGGAGGTCAATAAATAAACCAGGGGTGGGAGCGGGAGGCGGTTGGCTCGCGCACCTCCAGCGCAGGGGAAGGACCCGGCTTTCGCTGCTCCCGGGGGGACCTGCCACGAGCAAAGGAAGCGCCGGGCTCTGCGAGATAGCTGCTTCGGGGGAGCCGGCAGGCATCGCCGGCACGGGGAAGCACAGCAGCATCGTGGGGCTGGTCCAGTTCAGAAGTCTTTTATCCTTGAAGAACATGAACTTGAAGATGTTCATGTAGGTGCTGTTGTCCCCTTGCCAGAGCCCTGCACAAAAGTCCTCCTCGCCGAGTCGGGATCACTCGTCGCCTTCCAGCAGCGCTCGCAGCTCGGGCGCGTGCTTCACAGTAGTCTTGTGGGAGCTGCCCTCCTGGCTAAAATCCATGCCGGAGTCACCCCGAAGGCGTCGTACCAGCCATGGCGAGACGGGGCGACGGAGCAGTACCAGACTGCTTGGCTGTTGGTCCCCTCGGCCTCATGCTCGCTGCGTTCAGCCGCCCCACACCCGTCCGCTGCAGGAATATGGCTTTGGGGCACGAACAGCAGCGCGA